CTTATGATATTCTTATCAAGCAAGAAGAAGATAATATCAAGGCATCAGTTACTAAATTAGACCAAACAGCCTTACTTCAAGTTAACAAATATCTTCAACTTAATAATGCACAAATTTCTACTGAAGAAGAATTGAATAATATTAAAATTGTCGAATTAGTATTAATAAAATAGCAGCAAAAGAAACAAAGATCCGATGATGCAGATAAAGAGTCTTCAAAAATTTCAGTTTCAGAAGGGTTTGAGAGTCTAAGAAAATTTATAGAGTTTTTTAAGCAACAAAGTGACCAACATTTTAAATCAGATGATTTAAATGTTATTCAAAAATATTTATCTATAATGAGATGTAAAAACATAGAGTCTAAAAAGCAAAGTTCTATTAGAAATTTTTTTATACCTGCAAAGGCAAATTGAAAGTTGATCTTATAATTTATTTTTGTTATATTTGAATTTTTTTTTTAGATTTGCATATGATTTTTTTTTTTGACAAGTTGATCTAATTATTTATTTAATTATTTTTAATCATCTATTTTATTTATATTTTCTTACTTTAAATTTTAATAGCTTCATTTCTATCTAGACAGTGTTTAAATATGCAATTTTTTTGATTTTTATTTTCTTTTCACTTATGTTAAGAATTTTTGATAAGTTGCATTTATTAACCAGATTTTTAACTATTATTAAAACATGCAAATGATTCTTTGATACATTTTTTATTTATGTAAATATTAGTTAGATATGGTTCTTCTATGCAATATATTTTTGGTAAATTAGCACAATTTGGATTATCTAACTTGATTCATACTTATGATTCTTTATTTTCTCATTTGTTTTTTTCGTTTTGTTTTTTTTGCAAGTGTCAGTTCAGTGCTCAAGTAGTTCTTCATATTATTCATATTCTGTAAGTTAACTAGTATCTATTTTATTTTTAATAAGTTTCTTAAATATATATTCTTATTCTTTTTGTATAAATAGTTCTTTATATCTAATTACTTTAGTAAGTTAACTAAACTAGCACTTATTATAATGATTATTCAAATGCATAAATGACTCATATATACTTTATTCACTTCAAAATATTTAGTTGGTTTAATATGCAAGTTGTTTCTTGTGTTATTTATTTTTTGGTATTCATATATATTATTAGAATAAAGTTTTTAATAGTTGCTAAATAAGATATACATATACTTATTAATTTTTATCTACATTAAAAATAAATTATATTTATTTTCAGTAAGTTAATTCAAATTATATTTAACTTCATATAATTCTTTTTACTTATTTATTTTTATAATGTATTATAAGTCTCATTACAGTTGGTTCTGGCTGCATGTTATTTCTTTTGCCACTTATTTTCAGTAATTTAAAACTTAATTATTTGTGTGTTTATATGGCTTTTACTTATTTTATTTACTTAATATTGCTGAATGCATTAACTGCTTATTATATTAGTAAGCTAAATCAATTTATTATTTATAATTTAATTTTACTGGTTAAAACCAAAAATTCAACAAGTTGAATGATTCTATTCTATATGCAATTCAACTTGTTGAGTTTTTAAAACCAATTAATGTTTCTAAATAACTTTTTATTTACATGTTTTATTTATTTTCTCAAATGCTAGTTGGTTTAGAGATTGAATGATTATTCATACTATTTCTTTTCAGTATTTATTGCTAATTCTAATTTAAAGATTAGATTAAATACAAATATGATACATTGATTTCATAATTATTAGCTTGTCTAATATGTGAATTACTCTATATATATATTTTTTTTTAGTAAGTTTAGCAAACCTTTGTTAATCCATTTAAATATGCAAGCAATTCTTATTTTCTACTTCAATAAATTTAGCATTAGTCAGTTTAATATAATTAATTGCATCTATACTATATAGTTGTTTTAGTCTAGTTTTTTAAGAAAATTAAATTTATAAACTTCTGATTTATTAATAAAGTTTAGATATAAGGAACATCTAAAGCAGTATGCTATTGGGGTGTTTCACACCAAATAATTTACTATCATAGTGCAGCACAATATGATTGGCACATGATATTAGATTTTTAAAATTTTGTTGATCAATCTATCTATAAAATTTATCATAGTAATTTTATTATAAAATTCATATATTTTTAAACTGGTATAACTCACTTTTTAGTAAAGCAAATTCAATTTTGTAACTTGCAAATGATAGATAAATAGTATGTTTTTAAAACTATGCTGAGACATTTTCTAATTTATTTATTAATTTAATCCAAATTCTAAATTATTAAATTTTAATAGTAACATATTCATAATTTATAAGTTTAAACTATAGACATATTAAAACCTATATATATGACAACATAGTTTTAAAATTATACTATTTATCTATTATTTACAAGTTACAGATTGAATTCACTTTACTAGAATGCAAGCTATAGTATTTTAAAAATGTATGAATTTTACAATAAAATTACTATAATAAATTTTATAGGTAGATTGATCGACAAATTTCAAAAAATCTTATATAGTGCGCCAATTATATTGTGCTTCACTATGATAGTAAATCATTTGGTATGAAACACCTCAGTGTGCTATCATATGGGTAATGGCAAGAGAAAACCTGACTTTGGGTTTTTAAATATATTTTTTATCAAATTCAACTCTTAATAAATTTGATTAGCTGAGTCCGATCAGTAATAACCTTAAACATCCAGAGTCAGGTTCACTATATAATTTTACTTATTTGATTAAATTAGGTTTTATTATAAAATTGCCTATGCTTGTTTTTATTGTAGTGTAATTTATTTAGATATGCAAACTATATATTACTTATATAAGCTATTATATAGTATGTTAATGCCTTCAAAAATTTCCTTTATAACTCATTGAATATTGAAATTTATAAAACAAAATCTTATATAAAACCATGAAGTTATTTATTATTTTGCAAACTTTAAAACATTGTTGAAAAGTGGCAATTTGAAAATCTTTCAATAATTATACTAGTAATTATTAATTCTTATACATTTTGATTAAATCTGTGTTAACTATATTGGCAATTCTGATTGGATGGTTGTTACATAATTACTTGCAATTATAAAAATTGAACCCTTTTTATAATCACACCTCTCTACAATTACCAGATTTGTGACTAACAATTTGTGTGATTTTAAAAGGAAATGACTGTATATCTTATTAAAAAAATTATTTATATTGAAATATTAGTTATTAATTACTCAAATCATATATACATGCATTTATTATATAACAATTTATTGACTAATCTGTAACTAATTTAAATCTGCTTAAGTATGGATCAAAAAAAAGTTTAAATTATCAACTAAAAATAGATAATAATAGCTATAGATATTGTTCTTATATATATCTATTTTAGAATGTTCAGAAATATGCAATTTTGGAGATTTTTCATTGTTTGAACAATGAAAAATTCCTGAAATCGCATATTTCTGGACACTAATCTATTTAAGTAATAGTTTTTATTTAAAGGACTTACTACTTTGCATCAGTATGTATCATAAATTTTATAACTTTTATTATTATAACTTTTCTCTAACCATTTGTATATTTTTATGTAATGTTAGTTCGAGAATATTATTTTAATCAAAAGTTACGATTTATCCTAAACAATCATGTTTGTCACTTGTGCAACTGTAATTAACATTAAAGACTATAAATGTATTTACCAGAATATAATATTGATTTTAACTTTTACTGATAAATTTAAAAAATTCATTATATGTATTGATGTGGAAGAATTAGAAAACAGCCATGGTAGTTCTCAGTACATTGAGAATTAACTGGACAGGGTAACAGTACACTTTATGATATTACATAAGCAAGATTACAAGAATGACAATTGTATTACTTATGCTACTTAAGCAGTAGATTGAAATATAAGTATTTTATTATAGTGTAGTGAAAGTAGGGAATTATTAGGAGACGAATTTATTGGAATCATGAACGATATATTTTTCTCTAGAGTAAAACACCTTTATTATATACTTTTATTTACTTAGAAAGCATTATACATCTTATCTGTAATATATTACTTTATACTGATTATGAGGCTTATACTGATTATAAGGTTTATACTGATTATACTAATTATGCTCTTGATCCTACTGATTTCTCTTATTACACTGACATCCTGATAAGACATTTAGGACTTTTATGATGCTAGTTAGTTATTGTCCACATCAGACCTTCTTTCACATGCCTCTGAGGTTACAGTCTTGTAGCTCACAATAGTAAAATTAAAAAAAAAAATTGAATACATAAATAATACATAAACAATAACATTTTTGTTTATTTATTTCTACTACTCATTACCACTACATACTCATATTTTTAGTTCCTCATAGTTATATAAAAGGAAGGATTTACACCCTCCTTTTTTATATATGTATTGGTACTACATGTAGATAGCATATATGATTACATATAGATATTACATATTGATACTATATGACTACATATAGATATTACATGTAGATACTAGATTCTGAACACAAGGTATTGAGTGCTAAGTATTAGATAAAAAATTTGCAGCCACATTTGTTATTTTTGAATGGTTGGTTTAATTTGTGAATATAAATTTTTTAATTTTTTACTTTTGTTTTTTTTCAGATTTTTTTTGCCGAGTAGATAAAATAATAATTAATGATCATTAAAGGTTAAAATATAAAAATCATAGCAAAAGAATTTGGTTTTAAGATCATGATCAAGGCTTGTAATGATTTTTAATATAATATGAACATGACCAAAAATTGAAATTATATCAATAAATCACTTATGTTGCATAGTAATGTTAAGTAAGTCTTGTGTAAATAGAAGTGTAATCCAATTGGTTAAATCTGAATTTATATATTTATCATGGCTTAGGTTTGACAAGAACAATAAGCCTATTGTATATTTGCAATAGTTATTTATTACAATACTATAATAATAATTATTATATGGAACTTAATAATTAGTTGAAATCATGTTTTCTGTTAATTTTGTTATCTTTATTCCTTATTATTTTAACTAAGCCCTATTGAAACTCTATATATTACAGAAGTATGTGGATATGTATTCACTTATGTGAATTTAACTTCGAATTTTCTCTTTGCTGCTTGAACATACTAAATAATATGCAAGATACTATTACTAGATCACCAATGCATTAACTTTATTATTTAATATAAATAACTAATGTTATTAAATTGATTATACTTTAATTTATTAATAAAACAAATATAACCTTCTCTTTAGCTGTCATAGGCAGAAGTTCGCCTATTTAGCTAATAAATTCAATTTAATTTTATATTATTTATACAGTTTAAACTACTTTTTTTAAAAAATCCAAAAGCTAACTATAATAAAGTAAAAAAAAAACTGATCTAATTCTTGTTTGTTTTTAAAAAAAC